AAAAGATAAACTTTTGCCCTCTCCCTTTAAGAAAACTGCCTGGACTGGGCACGGTAGCTCACACCTGTAATCCTAACTACTTGGGAGGCTGAGGCAGGATTGCTGGTGCCCAGGAGTTCAAATCTGCAGTGAGCTGTGATCATCATGTCACTGTACTCCAGCCTGGGCAACAGAGCAAGTCTCCCTCTTTTTTTTTTTTTTTAAGACAGAGTTTCACCATGTTGGTCAGGCTGGTCTTGAACTCCCGACCTCAGGTGATCCTGAGCTTGGATCCAAAGTGCTTGGATTACAGGCGTGAGCCACCACGCCCGGCCATCTCCCTCTCTAAAACACACAGACACACACAGACACACAGACACACACACACACACACACACTCTTTCAAAAGGTTGCATGGGCTACTTCAGATTGGCCAGAACTTAGTACAGGAAGTTAGGAAATGTATTCATTCTGGATGTCCATGTGGCAGGAAGAATCGGGTACAAGAAGAGGGTAGAAGGGCTTCGAGGGGGTGGGACTTCTGGTAGTCTCTGCTTCAGTCTTTGAAAACTAAAGCACAGTAATGAACATTATAATTGACTGTGCAATACTCATTTTAGCCCGATCATGATATATTCAGGGGGCCCATCTGGGCCAAGGAGATGCATGCCAGAGGGTATGTGTTTGTGTGTGGGTGTGGGTGTGGGCTTAAAAAAACATAGGAAGGGCCGGGCATAGTAGCTCACACCTGTAATCCCAATACTTTGGGAGGCTGAGGTGGGCAGATCATCTGAGGTCGGAAGTTCGAGACCAGAGTGACCAACATGGAGAAACTCCGTCTCTACTAAAAATACAAAACTAGCTGGGCTTGGTGGCGGGCTCCGGTTATCCCAGCTACTCGGGAGGCTGAAGCAGGAGAATTGCTTGAACCTGGGAGGCTGGGAGGTGGAGGTTGCTGTAAGCCAAGATCGCACCACTGCACTCCAGCCTGGGCAACAAGAACAAAACTCCGTCTAAAAAAAGAGAGAGAGAGAGAGAAAAGAAAACTACAGGAAAGCATGAGTAAGGGAATGTATCATATCCATTGCTCTGGCAAATGTCTTACGTTAGGATGGCTGAATGAAGGATGAAGCCACCTCTGCAAATGGCAGAGAAAGAGAAGAAAATATTTTGGGTGCTTGAGAAAAGTACTGAGCCACTAAATCAACCAAGCCTGAAGCTGAACTCTGTTGCAAATGTCCTGTTTTGAGAGCTAATGAGTCTCCTTATTGTCTAACCTAGTCTGAGTTAGACTGCTGCTGAAATCGTGCTAACTGATGTAAAGGCTATTAAAATGTAAGAAAATTTTTGATCAGCAGAGCATGAACCTCAGCATCTGACTGGTCCCGGCAGATGTAGGCACCCTTATCTCCTTTTAGCTTCAGGAATTTCATTTGGGATTCAAAAGGCTTTATCTGACAGGTACCTACGCATAGCTATTTCCAGGTAGTTTCTGATGGCCTGTGTTTGAGGGAGTCATATTGGTTTTACAAAGGTTCAAGTAAAGGGGAACAGGCATTCTCATAAATTATTTATGGGGATATAAACTGGCCCACTCTTTTTTTGGAGGGTAATTTTACAAAAAATTTAAATGCATATTTTAGATTCAGTGGTTCTAATCTAAGAATTAATCCTACAACTATGTAGAAGCACACTATATGTGTTTCAGATTCAAGCTTCTTGGTAAGACAAAAAAATTTTTTTTTTTTTTTTTTGAGACGGAGTTTCACTCATGTTACCCAGGCTGGAGTGCAATGGCGCAATCTCGGCTCACCGCAACCTCCGCCTCCTGGGTTCAGGCAATTCTCCTGCCTCAACCTCCTGAGTAGCTGGGATTACAGGCACGCGCCACCATGCCCAGCTAATGTTTTTTGTATTTTTAGTAGAGACGGGGTTTCACCATGTTGACCAGGATGGTCTCAATCTCTTGACCTCGTGATCCACCCGCCTCGGCCTCCCAAAGTGCTGAGATTACAGGCTTGAGCCACCGCGCCCGGCCAAAAAAAATTTTTAGGAAGAAAAGAAATACAAGTATAGTATATTTGCACTCAAGACTGTTTACTGTAGCAATGTGTGTAATAGCAAGTACGGAAAATAACCCGGCTGTCAGTAAGAATCTGTTTAAAGCATAGCACGCTATGATCTTACACAGCAATGGTTTAAAAAAATGAGGAGGCCGGGCACAGTGGCTTGTGCGTGTAATCCCAGCACTTTGGGAATCTGAGGTAGGAGGATGGCTTGAGCCTAGGAGTTTGAGATCAGCCTGAGCGACACAGTGAGAACTTCTCTCTTTTTTTTTTATTTTTTTGTAATAATAAACTTCCAAGTCCTAACCTCACAAGGCCTTATCTCTAGGGAAAAAAATAATTAAAACTTGAAAATATTAGGTAATCTACATCTTCTGATACGGAAAGGGGTCTATCTGTTCCCCTAATACAAGTATTAACTAAAGAGTGCGTGTATGTGTGTATAATATGTAAAAGGTAAGTTGTGAGCTGGGCGTGGTGGCTCATGTCTGTAATCCTAGCACTTTGGGACGCTGAGGTGGGCGGATCACCTGAGGTCATTAGTTCATGACCAGCCTGACCAATATGGTGAAACCCCATCCTAAAAAA